GGTAAGCCAACCGTGATATCGACAGGTTTTAAATGTAAATAATGCCAGTGACTACTGCGACCGCTGGCGATGAGCATCGATTTGTTGCTTGATGAAATTGGGATTAGATGTTGTCACTTATAAATGTTTTTGTCTTCTTTTTGACTTTTGAAATAACAATTAATTTCTAACTGAAATTTTGTGGCAAGATTTGTGTTTAAAGTACTGAAAATACGGCATTCCTTTCCGAAACGTACACAAATACGCAACATGAATGAATCATATTATGACGACATATACGATGATATATTTTTTATCATCAACCACAGCCCTGTGTCTGAATTTTGTATGATAATGACTCTAGTGATTGGTGTTATCACGATTATTGAGAATGCAATAACTGTTTTGATGTTATGTTGCGTCCAGCAACTAAGAAAAAGACAGCATGTGTTGATTGGAAATCTCGCTGTTGTGGACTTTCTTGTTGGTATAGTGACAATCCAGATTTTGATCTCAAACTTTCGAATACCATACATACTACACTACTTTTCAAGTCTCGAGTTGACGACCAGTGCCATGTTCTCTCTAATTTGGATTTTTGCTGTGAGTCTAGAACGTTTCCTAGCTATAGTCGTCGCTCCTGTACGTTATCGGTACATTTGTAATAAATGCAGATTAATAACTGCGTGTCTGTTGCTCTGGATAATTTCAATCATTTTCATATTCTTCATTTTAGTAATGATGACTATAGGAATAGTTGACCAAAACTATTTGAAAGTTGTGTATTTGATATATTTTTCAATGACTTGCATTATTGGTATTATATATGTCATCATCTTTATTTCTGTAAAACTTCAAAGTAATCGATTAGAGACGGGCTGTGTCTCCGGAGCTGCTCGGCAAGCCCGATTGAAGTCGCTTTTCTTTACGTTTGCTATTTTATTTGGACTGCTTTGTTTGTGTTTACTACCAAATCAAATATTCATGATGTATATAATTAATAACAAATCAACAAATGATGGTTTTAGTTTTCATAACACATTACTAGCTGTATTTTACGATATCAGTCACGTGTTACTTCCACTAAATTCAGCGTTAAACCCGTTTGTGTATTGGTGGCGTATTCCAGAATTTCGACAGGGATATACGCGCATTTTAATGCGATGTAAATCCAAGTGCTGCTCAGTAAGAGGAGCTGAACATAGTGATTCTGCAGTGGTTTCGACGACCACCACTTTGTGAATAATATAATATACTATCTTTGACTGTAACAAAAAGGTGGAGCCTCTGGCTACGACTTTTTTAGGACATACACTTAAGAAATTGTATGTCTGACCAAGAGTCAGCTGTTCTAAATAACAGTTATAAATCTAACAATAATACAAAATAAAAAAATTGATAGTGCTTGGCGTGAGGGCCTTCTAAGGAAAACTTAATGCTGGCATTAAAGCGAAAGTATAAAGAATATTGATAGCAATTGTATGTATATATAC